CCTCGGCCCCGCCCCCACTCCACCCCTTCCATGAAGCCCCACCCCTTCCCCGCCCCCATTCCAACCCCTTCTGAAATCCCCACCCCAACTCTGCCCCCTCCCTGCCCCCAGGGGGTGCAGGAGGGGTGTGGGGTGTGGCAGGGGCTCAGGGCAGGGAGTTGGGGTGTGGGGTGCAGGAGGGGTGAGGGGTACAGCAGGCGGTCAGGGTGCAGCAGGGGGTTCGGGGGGCAGGATCTGGCCCGGCGCATACCGTCTGCCCTGCCCCTGCGCCGCTCCGGGAAGAGCTAGAACGTGGAGAAGGGGGGGTGGAGGGGCACAGGGGTGTGTGTTGCTGTTGCTTCAGGCAGCGCCCCCAGCAGCTCCGATTGGTCACGGTTCCCCGTTCCTGGCCAATGGGAGCTGCTGGGGGCGCTGCCTGAAGCAACAGCCCCACACAGCCCCTCTGCCCCCCTTCCCCACATTCCAGCCTCTTCCCGGAGCAGTGCAGGGCAGGACAGGCAGGGAGCCTGCCATGCTCCCGGTGCATGTCCGGCCGGAGCCGCTCTAGGTAAACACTGGGGAAGGGGGGGGGGTGTGAGGGGCTCACGGGCTGCGACTGGCTCACGGGCCGCAGAAAATAACCCCGCGGGCCCACGTATTTGAGACCCCTGCTCTAGAGCGTTCCAGTTTCTGGACCCAAACTACTGGGCTAAAGGAATTTACACATTCAGACTAGCTGCAGCATTCGTCATCTCCTTCAATCAGATACTTATTTAATGAGCTTAAGAACTACAACAGGGATGTCTGCGCTCCTTCCAAGTGTCTATAGCAGATTAATTGACTATGGAGCTTAAGAACTCTGCTGCTCTGCCTGCAGACTTCGCAATGTCCTAGACCACAGCTCTCTGGATGGAGCAGTTTCCAAACCCTGCAGGCTTTCTAAACTCCACAGAGACTTTGCAGAGCTCCCGGAAGCTCAAATATTCATAGTGACTAACTCCAGAATTAACTACCCAACATCTGGAGAATTGTCCTGGGCACCAGATCTCATTAAGGACAAAATTAAAAAAATACAAATTTGAACTTGCTAGATCAGGTTGATTTTAGCTTTCCAAATAACTTCAATGAGGAAAAATCCCGCTGTTCAAACTCTCCTCTCTTAAAGACGCCTTGTCTGATTAATAGCACCATTTCCTGGAAAGGTCTCTTGAAGAAAGAGAGAAAGAAAGAAACACCCCCCCCCCCCAGAAAGGAGCTCTTTCTGAAAAAGTTTTCTAACTGGAGAGGGAGGCTGTTCAAAACTGGGCTTAAACTAAAAACTGGCTACAAATGTCAGACCCATGGTCCATACACATTTCATCAGCCACTGTTAGATGATCATCTGCAGTACTAAGATGCGGTAGGAAGGGCTGAAATTCCTAGTTAGCATGTAAACCCGAAACGTTAGCTGAACATGGCATTTGCTACGTACTTAACGTTGGACTCTATTTACAAAGGGAAAAGGAACCAAACGGAAGCAGCGAGCCAGGTTCGGCGTGTCCTCTGGGACAGTGTTGCTAGCACCGATGCTAGCAGCACGGGGTGATGTACAACGTCTATGCACAGTACCATTCCACCAAAGTCTGTTTGCTGGGCCCGGATCAGTCTTGGAGTACAGCTATGCAGGCAATGCCAAGGGGAAGCCTGATAAAAGCTAAACCATTTCTCTTACCCCTCTGAAATCAACAGCAGCTGATCGTCAGTGTTCTCGGGAACACCTTGGGACTGGAAGCTACAGGCTACAAACAGCAAGGCCCATTCAGTGGTGGAACCAAATGAGACAAGGAGCACAGGGAGGGTGGATAAGAGTACCTAATCCTGTCCCTGGCCAAACACCCAATGCCCCTGGAGCCAGGCCTACCTAGTCCCAGAGGGCACTGCATTAGGATTGTGACCTGTGTCAGCTGCATTTTGGAGGCTGACAGAGCATGTGCTGCAGATTTATAACACATCCCCGATTATGGACCCACACTCACCCCCTAGGTCAAAGCAGTCTGAATTATTCTTAAGAATATGAATGTACCTTCCCCATAATAGCCCCACACAGTCACCTTCTCAATGTACTTGCCAGCTGACGCGGCACGGTTTGTGCATTCGTAACATTCTTCTCGCCTGCAATAATTGTGTCTGCTGCAGGATGGTCTCAGATGGGAATTTAATGAGGGGCCTGTGTAAACACGCTGGAACCGATGGATACGGACGTCCACTGGTAGTTGCTGCTGTTTGCTATCTTTATTCATGTCTTTTTAAAAAGTGCTTTTACCTTGACTCGAGCTTCTCCCCCACCCCGTCTCTCAACAACTAATTCAGAATGATTTCTCAAGGAGCTGGTTGCTTTCTGTAGTGGCGGGATTGTTTGGGGCTAAGTAAATGTGTGACTAAGAGTTATTCTAGGTAAGAGCACCAGATTTGCCTTTATTCTGCGGTTTACGGGGCTGTCTCAGCCTGGGTGAAATTCACCACTGCGCATAGACGCGACAGAAGGCCAATGGACCATTTACGACCCACTTCAGCCGTGGACCTTTGGCCAGGTGAAATAAGAGTGGGGCACAGACTATGTATTGGTCCCCTCTGCGCAGTGGTGAATTTCACCCTCATTGCACCAGAGGACGCTTCAGCGATGTTTGCAATTGACTCCCAATTGCCGGACTGGCTTCACGTCCCTGTTTTAGCCGTCCTTGGTGTTTCGAAATTGGCTTTTTGTCTCCAGCTCCGGATTTGGCTTTGGTGGTTGGCGCAATGTTTTGTGACAATTTTACCCACTGTGCAGCTCTTTGTAGTTGATCAGGCAGATTAGGACAGATTAGGACAGCTGTCTGATGGGGGAAATTCAGTTCTTTGACACTGAACATCTCAACAATATGTGCTCAGACCTAGGAGCTTCTGGAAAGCCCTACCTGCCCGAAAAACGTTATTTTGGCCTGACATGCATGATGTAATTTCCCTGCCTGCCCCCCACCCCTCATTCCAGAGGATAAATTCCCAGCCAGCCAGCCCCCAGTCACTTACACATACAGATCCATAGGAAACTCTTTCATCATGTGTGTTACGATGAACTCCACCATCAGATCTAGGAGACCAGGGAGGAAAATGACAAAGTAAATGTAAAACTAGCTACAGTAAACAACTGGCAGACAACAAGCAGCATATCCAACTACCCAAGCCCCCACCATGCCCCCAGACAGCAATCCTGGTTAGAAGCAAGAGAGAGAATTTACTAAGAGCTGTGTCTGAATTAGGCATCTCTTCTGGAAGCCCAGGACAAAGCTACTGAGAGCTGCCTGGCATTTGAATGCGATGCGCTCCGAGACAGGTTTCCTCCACGCACTTCCCCCCCCCCCCCCGTTTAAATAAAAAACACGTCACTAATTTTGATGCATAGAATTGCGCTCGTATTTCAAACCTTGGCACCAGTAGGAAATAGGTTTTAGAACACTGTTGTCACCAGAGGCCAGATATGTTTTACAGCTTTGTTTTCTGAGACGATAACGTAGAGGACATCCATATATCTACAGAATCGGCTCTGAAGCAAAGTAAATCCAGTCTTGCCTCAAGAATGACTGAAGTCTTCTACATACTACTCAGTTTTAATCTTGGTCAGTTTCACAAGGGGTACATTTAAGTGGCCTCAGTGCTAGAACAGCAAGAGAGACAGGCAAAACAGCCCTCCAGCTAGTCACATTCACCCTGTTTGTCTGTTCCAGGCAGGGCAGGTGCCCAGCACTCACTTCCACCACCAAACATCTGTTTCTTTCCCATCCGCTTTTTCTCAGCTCAATCACCCACAGACTGCTGGTTCCCAGGCATCACCTCCCCCACCTCAACGTTTCAATGGACTAGCCAACAAACACGCCATTATTGACATTCGTTCAGCAATGGAAGCAAGGTGTCCAATGTCTTTTGGAAAACCTGACAGTGAATGTGGCTTTCCACAGATCTACAAGATCATAGACTATCAGGATTGGAAGGGACCTCAGGAGATATCTAGTCCAACCCCCTGCTCAAAGCAGGACCAATCCCCAGACAGATTTTTGCCCCAGATCCCTAAATGGCCCCCTCAAGGATTGAACTCACAACCCTGGGTTTATCAGGCCAATGCTCAAACCACTGAGCTATCCCTCCCGCAGCACGTTACATGGCACCGATCCTCCTACCTAATCTCACTAGAGGAAAGTGAGGGGGTGGGATGAAATGCACCCTGCTGAGAACTGAAATTCCTCGCACAGGTAATAGGTAGCCAGGAAACTCCCCCAAACGAAGCTGATTTCCACCTCGTCACAGGAGATGGGTCGATTCTGGAAGATCCCACCCCAGCAATACTCACCTAGGACTGCACACACCAGGGGGCGGCAGGGCAGGTTCTTGTCTGCGGCTTTCTTCCTGTGTCTCATGGGCTTCAAACACACAAAGAAGAAAGGAAGTCAGCAGATGCCTGCATGGCACCCAGCGCATTATCGCCTGCTTTCCATACAAATAAAACCACTGCCACAGGCTCGCCTGTAGTTTTGGGCTCTTCCATTTCTGCCACCTTGGCTCTATGGCTGTCGCACCAGGGCACAGAGGGTCCCCGCTCACCAGGGAGACAGCAGCTGGCGCTTTGGTTACTTTGATTCTGAGCTGTGTAACTGGAGGGCACTGTCGCACCAGGGCACAGTGCTCTCCCTTATGTTCCCCCGACCCAGAAGTTTGTTTTTCGCACTCTCAGTGACTAGCTCCTCCATCGGCTCTAAAAGACGATGCCCGTTCCATGCTTGCTGCTGAGAAAGAAGGGTTAACAGCTTGGGGCTACGCTTGCTTTAAAAACAGAGGGCTTGAGTCTGTCCTGGAGTGGTCACACCACCATCTCCCAGGCCGCCAATGGGGGAAAACTCCCCTAGAGAGCAATTCCAGTGGTGGAATGACCACCTCGTAGGTCGGAGGTGTGGAGCCTGCAGCCAAGTCCCACAGAGGGAGCATGCACAAATTCACAACATCCTCTGGGCTGCCTCTACAGGCGGGGCTCCTGTGGACCCTTGGATGCAAATGAAAGCTGCCTTCCTGCAGCAGAACCCTGGGGCAAGACAGTGGTAAAAACAACCCCCCCCCCCCGCTCCCCCACTTGAGGGGCGAATCACCCATCTGAAAGAGGGGGTGAATTGAGCTCAAAGAAGTTGGGGTCCACTACGACCTGTACATCAATGGATCACATGGGGCCTAACATTTGCTGAAGCTTAAGGCAGACTGCTCCCCAGAATGCACTAATGCCTCCGGTCCCCACAGACCTCCCATTACACATCCTCTCCCTGGCTACCCCGGGCAGACGCAGCTCAAAAGCCAGCCCTCACCCAGCTCCTTGAGCGAGCCAGCAAGGAGCCAGGTTGCTTGCTCCCCAGCACAGCTCATTCCCTTGACGAGGAGTCTCGAGCCATGACGGCGTTTCCTCCCCACGCCCCCACCAGCAGGGCAGGCTGGGTCCTCCCGCGCGCTGGCCCCAGGCGGGGTGTCTGTGCCACAATACACAACCAGCTGAGGACCCAACACCTTGGCTTCCGCCACCCCAAGGAGAGAGGACGGAACCTGCGGTGGAGGACTCACCATTCTGTGCAGGTTTACTCGAAAATTCACGTTGTCATCATGCAGAAAAGCATTAGCGTATTGATCCTATTGGAGAGAGCAAAGCCTGAGGTGAGCAACATCCACTGCAGCAACCCCCCTGCCAAAGCCCACGTGCCCCAGGGCAAAACTGGCAGCTGCAGGCAACTCGAGGGTTAGAAAGTTGCCCATCAGCAGGAAGAGGCACTTGCCTGAGTCTTCTCTTCCCTGTTCCCCAGTTATGCCTCTAGTCAGACAACCCAAGCGACTACACTGGCACAAACGCCTGCCCCACAGTCGTTTATTTCCCATGCCTTTCTTTGCTCGCCCGCGTCGCGGACTCCACGTGCGACAGCGCCAAGAGCATTTTAATGTGGGCTGTAAAATGCACAAGGAGGTTCTCCTGCCTGCCTCTTTCCTCGTCCCCATGACCGAGCGAAGAGGAAGGTTTATAGTGGCAGCTTGATGGACCCATCACGGCAGAAGTTATTGCAGCACAGGCTGCGAGTAGGTAGCTCAGCCGCTCCAATCCTCAGGCCAATCTCATTCCCAAATCCACCCTAAATCAAACGGCGTTCCGGCTACTACACAGCCAAGTGCGGTACTAAATCTCCTCGCCATTTCATACCAGGGTCAAACATGCCTTGGCTAGACACAGGCCATATTTCTCTTCTCCCCTTGTCTACAGGCCTTTCTGATGAGCTCAGGTGCTAAGAATAGCTAATTACTAGCATCTGTAATGAAATCAGAGTTAACTAGCTCTTCTGCAGCACTTGATGAAGCATGACTTTAAAAGCAGCGCACTCGGCGCAGTAATGCTGACGTTGCGGCTCTGAAGCAGCGACACGCAGACCTCTGCGGTCTGGGAGCCAAATTAGCGATCAATATTATTCAAAAGAGCCACAGGAGTGGGACTGCTTCATTTCATTTACTAGAGCGCTATTAGAACATAAGAGCGGCCAGACTGGGTCAGACCAAAGGTCCATCTAGCCCAGTCTCGTCTTCCGACTGTGGCCAATGCCAGGTGCCCCACCTGGGGGAACGAACAGGTAATCATCCAGTGGTCCACCATTGTACTATTCCTATTCAAACCGTGTGACAGAGAAATATTTAGTTTATCTATATTATTCTTATCAGCTACAACTGGTTAATAACCCAGTAAAAGCCGATTGGTTAATAATTACATCACACAGTGTTTCCATATCACGTGCTGCAAAGAGCCACAGGAGACACATTAAAGAGCCACTTGCGAGCCTCAGTGACAGTGTCACTGCTCTAAAGGGAAGGTTTTTACTTGTGTGCAACCAAAACTCTTTTCCAGTCGGGACCTGGCTGCTTGGCTCCCCACCTGAGCAGTCTGCCCAGCAGGCTGACAACACCCACTTCCTTCAAGGCAGGAGAGGGACAACGTGGTCCCTGTCTGTGGAGGCCATGGCCACTCCCTCCAATGCTAGCCCCTGATCCCTCTCATGGGATGGCTGAAAAGCAGCACCATCTGCTTAGCATGAACAATGCAGAGTCAGGTGTCGTCAGGGTCTGGAACAGCTCACGGTGCCCCCTAGTGACCTAACACATGCGCTAAATGAAAGGGGAACAGGTCTGAGTTCAGCGTGCTCCCCACGTGTGACACGAGAAGCCGACGCTCCCTGAAATGAGGCAACGCTCTGCTAGCTTAGGCTCAGTGCTAACAGTAGTAGTGCTGGACTTCACAGCAAAGGATTAAACCATCTCTAGCAGGGTCTCCATCTCCCAACCCCCCTGCAGTTCTCCAGTGCCCAAGCCACAGGAAGCGAGGGGAAGGGGCACCCGCGTGGAGCCAGGTTGCCACATGAGATGGGGTCATGCACAAGACCGACCTCTGCTATGCACGTCAGGATAATCAGACAGAGCTTGCCGCTGTGGAGCCGGTGTTCGTCTGCAAATGAACAAAAACAAGCCTACGTGAGCCACTAGGCCTTGTTGTGCCGACAGGTCGGCGTGTGGACTCAGAGCAGAAAGACCCTCCCTGGTGGAAACAGGACAAGAGGCCGAGTATCAAACTTCATACACCTACTCACCCACCCTGGGAGAGTAAATAGTCTCACCGTGGCCCTAAAGGCATCACCCCAGCAGCCAGACCTCTACACCCCACTGAGCTATCGGGAGTCTCTGCTAACAACGCCATGTCAGACTTGATCTCTTTCTCAGCAGTGTGACAGAATACACCCTGCAGTCACACCCTACTCACTAGTGTTATGATCTTGGGACAAAGCGTGCCTTGTAAGGTAAACTCAATTTTTTGGTCAGTATTGTCCGGAGGAAATATGTGACAACACTGTATGTGAAGTGATAAGATTCCCCTGTATGGTGTTATTAACACATGTTCCAAACCCCACAGCCCTGCTCCAACAGAAGTCAGCAAACGGGTCTGTCCTCGACAAAGGAACGTGTGCTCTGCTTAACTTGCATTTAAGCAGTAAACAGCCATCAAGCAGGGAGGGAAACAAAGGAACCTCAACCAGGTGAAAAAAGGCAGCAGGGAACATCCTTCTGCATAGATTCTGTCTCCTAGTGCCCAACCAGAAATGTTTTTCAAGAGGGGGACTGAAACTATAAAAAGGAGGAAAAAAAACACCCAACGGCACCCCTCTCTCTCCTCCTGCCCATCGTATTCACTGCACCTGAAGGAACACAGGAAGCATTCATTGGATTCTGGGGGAGGGGTCCTGACCTACAGGGTTCGGTCAGTCAGACTGCCGAAAGCACATGGTTAGAAATTTTGCTTGAATCTAGTCTAGTTTGTTAAATTAGGCATTAGTAAACATCTTATCTTTATTTCCCTTGTAACCGTTTCTGACTTTTATGCCTCATTACCTGTACTCACGTAAAATCTCTTTGTAATTAATAAACTTGTTTTACTGTTTTATCTAATCTAGCGTGTTTAAGCTGAAGGGTCTGAATCATTACTTGAGATAATAAACAGGCATATTATTCCCTTTAAGGAATAACAGACAAAATATTTTGTTCTCTCCAGGAGAGGGTTGGGCAGTGCAGGACATACATTTGGAGGGGGGGGGGGGGGAGGGGAGAGAGAGAATCGTGGGACGTGGGGGTGT